TTTGAAGAGCCCTGCCATTGTTCTAACAAAGCTCAGGGATAATGTAGCACATGATGAGAGTAAATGAAGAGTACTTTACTTTAGATTTGGTGGGCTGCCCTCTCCAGCATCTTGCAAACGAATCTCTATTTCTGGCTGCCTATTTCCATGGATAGCCCCAGTCTCCCAAGCATCCTGTCAGGACAGTGTCAGACAAGGAACGTTGTTTCTTCTTCGCCATTTTCTTGCTTCAACCACGTTATCCCTTGTGATAATTAGACCGTGCCTTCTTTGAGGAGGCATTTTGACTTCAACTCTTCAAAGTTTACGTGGATAGTTCCTGTAAAATTCTCATTCAACAGAGGGCACCCTGCAGGATGGTAAGTAATCTTCTGCAGTCACGTGGACAAGGACTTACCGATGGCTTTAGCTGTGAAGAACTAGAGAAAGCAAGAGAAAGCAATGCTGAGAAGTGCAGGTGTGAGGCGTTGCTCCAGGCAGGTCTGCTTCCTGCTGGAATCTAGGTGTAGCAGAGGTCATGGAAGCACCCTCTGAATTGTTCTATTGAGAGAAGGGTGGCGAGTGAGATCTTCAGTGAGAAGTGAAATCAGATTTGTTGGTGATCAAAAGGACAAGAGAGATGCGTGTGTTGGAAACAACTGGTGCCATTGAGGTCTCTCGGCTCCTCCCCTAAGCAAATTGCAGTCTTGGTGGAATATCAGCTTCTCAGTCCATCAAATTGCAGTAATCAAGTCTGAAGCTGATCGGAGCATGAGTCACCACTTAATTTGCTCATCAGTGGAGACCAAGTTTTCGAAATGTTTTTAGATGCATTTCCACAGAGATTTCTGCGAGCCAGTGACCTATAGAGTGACAAGAAAATGAGCAATAGCTGCTGCTGAATCAGCCTCTGCTCCCTGCCACTTACACTACTGACCACAGTTTTGGGCAGGGAGGGAAGGTAAATCAAAGGCCTTTGGAATTGCTATGCAGAAAAGAGCCCTGCTGAGCTGATCCCAACACCTGGATTTGTTGAGAAACAAAATAACCTGTGAATTCTTAAACTGTCTGGTGGGTTCAAATGAACCCTAACTGTGTAGCTTGCCCCAACCAGAAGCAGGCATGAGATTAGAAATTGGTTGTGATCCCTGTTCACAGAGGCAGCCAACACCCAGCAGCTGTAGCACACAGAAGAGGCCACAAATCTCCTGAGGATCCTGTGCTGGTGCGTATTTATTGTCCACTCTTTACCTGTGTTCAAAATTGCCACCTGGAGCAACCATTTTTCACCCAGTTAGGAGGAAGGAAAAAAGCCTCTGCGTGGTCTCCTCTGTGGGTGGGCTCCATCTAATATAATAGTCACAAAATCAAAGTCTTGCAGATGTTAGCATAGTGGGGTTGGTTCATCTCTATAAGAGAAAACTTAATATTTGTGGTCAGTTTTCTTACGAAGCGATTCAAAATTCTAAGGGAAATCAGCTGCCTTGAAAGGGAAGAAAATGGCCTTCCTTGAAGGAAAGACAATTTCATTGATAGGATTAAAAAAATTATGGAGGTCATGTGAGAGCTGGCCTTTTGCCAAAATAAATGCAGGAAATAAAATTTGAGAGTCCTATGACAATAACTGGGTATGAAATTCTATTGACAAAAGCTTTTGCAGTTCTGTGCTCCCTCTGTTTCTTAGCACCGTGACTGCAGTCCTTCCCTGTTGGTGTCCTTTGTCTGCCGCACTGCCCATCCCCAAGATGTTACAAAATTATTTTATTTCCTGGTGCCTTCCCTGTGCAGTTTTGCCACTTCTTGTCAACACTGTTTGATGAAACATGTGATAAAATGTCTTTTTACCTATCATCAATCTAAATCCCCCCCCCTTTTTTTTTAACTTCTCCCAGTTAGCTGTCCCTAACTGAACCTCCTCGTGTCTCACCAAGATGATGCTCTCATTTGCTCTCCGAGCTCTCTTAGAGGCTCCATCCTGTAGCCAAGAAACCAGGGCAGCTTTCCAAGATGCTGCTTGGGGAAGCAGAACCAGCTTTTTGTGCTGACACTGAAGAACAGGAACTTTGCCCATGCAAATTATGGTTCCTGTGTTCTTCATTAGGACTCGCAGTTCCCGTGGAAGGAAACACCCACATGCACATGGACCTGCAGCTCACTGCTGTATCCATTGTAGTCACTGTCAGTCCTTTGGGCGATCCCATACAATTGTTGATACGTTTTGCCAAGTTCTCCAGCAAATTCTTGCTTGTTCTGTTTCATAATATTGTTTTAAATTAGAGACATTTTGGGAGAACCTCTATTTTTCTGTACAAAAATTGCAAAAAACAATTTTTTTTGGATCTATTTTAGGTCACTTTTTGTCTGAAAAATTAACTGTAATTTCCAAATAGTGGCTCAGCACTAAAAAAGATGCATGTACTCTATTTGCCTCACACATTCACTCTGCCCCTTCCCGAAACCATACACTCTTTCAAGTACCTCACAGTGAGTTGCCTAAAGCCCTTTTTAGAAAACAGCTACAACATCTGTTTAGGTCCAATTCTCTGATAAATAAAATATATCCCAGAGGCATAATAGCATACTAAAATAAGAGTATGACACAATTTCAGCCAGCTAATATGGTAACTCTCTTTGATGCAGCTCACGGAGTGTTAATGTGAGAAGCCTGTATCTTTCCAGCTCGGCTGTCTGGGAGCATCGCGCATGGATCTCTCTCCCGAGCCGAAACCCCAAGCCGAAGCCAAATCCCACAGCGGCATGAGCAGCAGTTTGGGACCAATGCCATGCCACCCTGTGCTCACAAACTCCCCACTTGCTGGCCTCTCCAAATGTAAAAACATAGTGGAATTGTGATACGTGAAATTTTGCGTGAGCCAGGGGAACAGAACAGAAGTGCTGCGGTCTGGGGAGCCTGACTGTTATCGTGTTTCTGTTCAGGTAACACGTATTTGTGACATGAAACATTAATGTGTAACCTCTCTGATTACAAAGAGCATAAAGAGCTGTGTAGAGCTATACTATCACACATCAATGTTCCCAAATAATCCCATTTTAAGGAAGTATTGGGACATTCTTCAAAAAACAAGAAAACTCAAATCTTGCTGGTATCAGTTTTTTCAAAGATTTTTAGATAGTTGTTTTTAAAGTAAGGTGCATAGTACATGTAGAAAAACTCTTTTCCATATGTATCACAATGTATGTTAAACCATTACTTTCTATGCTCTATAGTTTAATATTTTAGAAATATTTAGGAATGTATTTTCTTATCTAACACTCCACTTCCAATAGCAAACTCCGTCTGCTAACTCATCCCATTTGAATTTTTAGCTTTGGTAGATGTAAAAATATGCTTCAGTGTATTGCCAGCAGCAGCTTTCTATGTTTAAAAAATAAATTTAATGAGAAATTTCAATATTTTCCAATACTAGTGAAAATGAAATTTAGTCTGTTAAGATGGCACAATGGTATTCTTTGAAAAGCTGCTGCTTTGGATGTGCTTGGAATTTTCTGTCAGAAGCCCCAGTTTAGGAGTTTATTGTCTTAGTAACAAAATACTAGCTCTGAACAATCCCAGAAGCATAATACATTAGCAGAAGGAAAACAGTATTTATAGCCAATAATTCAGCTGTTATAAATTATGACTGTAAAGAAAGAGAAAAGTGGTCCTTTTTAAAACTTGCTGCCAGATTCTGGTTTCAGCGATGCTGAGTAAGGTAAGTAATGTTCTTTTGATTAACAGTCAAGCCTTGAGTGGTTTTCATTTAAAAAAGACTTTATTAAGCTTTTTTCTCAAATTCATCTTTTTTGTTCTGTTTTGAACAGACTTCCGTCTGAAGAAAACTCTCAATGACTTTTTAGCCTAAATTAAATCCCCACTGACAAACAGATGAGAATTATTATTAATTTGCTCCAGAAAGAACTAATAGGCTTTGCCAAATAAATCATGCAGATCACTGTGTGCTATTCATCTCTTCTGCAGATTATTGCTTAAAAGCCATGATAGTTGTCCTTTAAAAATCAAAAGTTGAATAAGCCCTTTGACTTGAAGTAAAAAATTTGGACTGATGGTTGTCTTGGGCCTGACTATTTTTTGGTTTTTTGCAGTCTGGAAAATGAGAGGGCTGGTGAGCACGGGTTCTTGGTGAGTGTGGATTCTTAGCTTCTAGGAAACTTGACTACACGTGGAGACTGGAGGTAACTGGTGTGTGTTAATGAATGGTTCAGTTATTTATCCCTGACCAGTATTACGGAGAGCCCCAAGTCTTCTGAGAAGCCAGAAACCACCAGCAGAGTTGAACTCCTTCACATCGCCTTTGCCAGTGCGCGTCCATGTGTCTGTCTGTGTGTCACAGTCCAGCGCCCAGTCCAGGTCCTGAAGTATTCAAGTATCTTCCACAGTTTCAGTTCCTTCTGTTTTGAAAGTAGTAGATACTTTGTGCTCCTCTTGTCTTTCAAGAGTACCTTGTAGGTAATTATGTGATAACTTATTAGCTGTTTGTTGATTTGAGCTTAGTTGGTACAGTCACTTGTGATTCTGCAGCACACGCTTCATCATCTCTTTGTTTTTTTCCTAATTAATTGAAGAGTCTGATCACCCACTTCCAACTAGTTTTTAAGTACCCTCAATTATTTTTTTGTTTGGGAATTGATTTAGAGTGGGAACATGTCTCAGCTAACTGCGAGACATAATACCACAAAACTGTATGAATTAACAAATACTAATATGTACTTAGCATCTATCCTAGATACCAGTGTTTATACAAACACATAAAGTATGCTGCTACAGGCTGAAATTAGAAGCAGCAACAATGTAGTTTATCCAAGTCAATATTTCTCCAGTAAAATTCAATTCAGCATGAGGCATATATCCCATTCAGACTGTCTGTTCAGCATCTTCACCAACAGCAGGACTTTCTAGATGACCCTTATGCCAGTAGAAGTTGTGGTTCTACTACTCAATTAACGTTCAGTGTGAGGTATTTCTCTACATACTTTTAATTTCTCCTGTTTGCCATTAAAATGATGTATTATAAATTTGCCAAGTCATGCAAACCAGCACCATTTTGTATCATGGGCACACTGTAAATTTTCACAGGAAAAAATGTGTTTAGAAACAGTAGGGCTGTTTGAACATTAATTGTTGTTATCTTTCAGTGTCTTTCATCCATGAAGTTTAGCTACTTCTTAATATCAAAAACCCAGCTGTACAGGCACCAGAAAACAAACAAACAAGAAAAGTAGGAGAGAGGAGGAGGGGAGAAATCCGTGTGTGGCCTTTGGTGGTTTTTTTACTCAGAATATTGTACCTTCATAAATGATTAGGTGTCTCTTCCTTTTAAAATGTATTGAGCTCCTATTTTTATGTGAATGAGTATTACAACACCAGAAATTCAACCTCTCACTGAGAAAAAAGGTGATCATAAGAATGGAAATACTATTCAGGCAAGTAAGACCAATGCAAATGCAAACCTTTTGCCAGCTCCTTGAAAGAGATCTGAAGAAGTGTAAACACATGGGGCCTACATTTCCCAAAATAAGAAATGATGACAGATGCTCAGCTGGCGCTGACACATCAGGTAACCATCACTCTGGGAGGACAGGTGCTCTCTGGAAACTATTCATTTTTGAAAAGATTGAAAAAAGAGCACTCAAACACTGAGGTGCCCAAAAATTAATTTGGTTTGCAACTACGGATTTTGCCTCTTTCTCAAGTCTCTCGTTCTTTCTTCTTTGTGGCTTTTCTTCCTTGCTCTGTCTGAAACCAGAAAAAAGGGGGTAAAAAACCCAGTGGGACTAGAATAATGGGTATATACACATACTAGTTGTATATTTCCTTATCAGTCAGCAGGTTAATTTTTAGATGCTGCTTTGATTACATCTTTTCTTTTCTTTGGTTGGTTGGTTAAAGGTTTTCCAGAGGTTTTTACACGTAGCAGAGACACTGTGAGTGGAAAATGCAACTTTGATTCTGCCCTATTCTTCTGACCACATACCAAAATGCTTCATTTTGCTCTGGTGAGAGAGGCAGTAGTGAAATGAAGAGAAAACATGCTTTTCAGTGGAGAAAGCCATAACTCTGTTTCTGTTCCACATCTCCTAGCATTGGATCTTGTTATTTTTTTTTCCTTCAGGGAGGCCGAAAGATGGCTGTAGGAGGACTGAGAGCTCTAGGTAGCTGGATGGGCATTAAAAATGGCCAAGAATATCCTGGATGATGGAAAGAGAGGATTTTGCACCATATTTTTTGCAAATTTTGCCTAGCTCTGTACTTTCCAGCAGCAGAGCGTGTCTTATGCAGACAGTCCATTGAAAAGGCTGTGATGATTTGCCTTAACTTGCATAGTCTCCAAAATTCAAACTGTAAATTATATGGAAAGTAGGATGCAACTAAGGTATCAAGAGATTGTGTTGTTTTCCAAGAGCTGTGTTGGAAGGCACATTGAAGCAGCTGGGAAAGGGATCTTTGATATTTTCATTCTCTTTATCTTACTGTAGTGAAGAGCAGGGATTGCAAGTGGATTTTTTCACGGGGACAATGTTATCAGTCTCTGGGACAGCCCTGCAGACTGAAAACTGCAATAAGCTGTGGAAATTTCTGAGCTACCTTTAAACAAACAGCTTGGGTATCAGAAGCACCCTGGTGTAGCCATGTAGAGCTCAGTGCAGCCTAATTTCATCTGTTTAATTATATGCAACAGGCATGAAAAGCAAAGCTAGATTTTATCAGATATATCTCAATGCTTCTTAATAACGTGCTTTCATCAGTGTTTTTTCTATGCCTTGTTCTTTTGATAGTCCTTCAGAGAGAGTGCTGACTGCAGCTGAGGAGTAATCCTAGAGAGCAGTGAAACAGATATCTTCCATTTTATATACTTAGGCCCAAATGCCTAAGTATACATGACTGAATGAACTCATACTCAGGTACTACATGATAGGACAAGTCAGTCAAATTTTCATACTTTAAAGAATAAAAGCAAAACTGTCCGTCTTGTCAGTTAATTGATCTGTGCTTTCCTCTGCCCCAGGGCCTGTGCACCCTCATCCTGCAAGCAGCACTGCCTACAAGAAAGCTGGAGAGGGACTTTTTGTAAGGGTGAGTATTGATAGGACAAGGGGGAATGGCTTTAAAGTAAAAGAGAGTAGCTTTAGATTAAATATTAGAAAGAAATTCTTTACTGTGAAGCACTGGAACAGGTTGCCCAGAGAAGTTGTGGATGCCCCATCCCTGGCAGTGTTCGAGGCCAGATTGGACAGGGCTTTGAGCAACCTGGTCTAGTGCAAGGTGTTCCTGCCCATGGCAGGGGCACTGGAACTGGGTGATCACTAAGGTCCCTTCCGACCAAAACCATTCTATGGTTCTGTGATTCTGTGTTGCTCCTGCTCCCCACCCCATGCCAGAGGCCCCAGTGCCCAGAACACAGAACAGGCCGCTCTGTGACATCAGCCCTGGGGCCTCGAGCACTGCGGGCACCGTGTTGGTGGCCGCGCTGCTGCGAGGAGCCCTCACTTCTGGCAGCTGACGTGTGCTGCTGGCAAGGATGCTTCTGCTCTGCCTCCTCGTCCTGCTGGCCACCTGTGGGCCTGCGCTGGGCACGTGGAACACCTGCGGGTATGGAGCCCCAGGCTCTGGGAGAGAGTTTGGGCAACGTCTTGGGGGCCCCTGGAGGGGGCCCCCTTGTCCGCTGTGGCCACACCACAGCTTCCCAAACCCCATGGGGGAGCCTCAGTTCCTTGCCAGTGTCCAGGTGCTGGCGTGGACAGACACACAGCCCACAGGCTTCCCTGGCCTGCTTCGTGCAATGCCTTGTGGGGAGGGCAGACGGCTGAGCTTCAGCCTGAGCAGCAGCAAGTCACGGAGCAGGGCATAATGACTTTCTGCTTACAGGGGGACCTGTGGGGTCCGGTCCATGACTTCTGATGAGGACCAAGGCAAGACCCGTGTTGTGGGTGGCACAAGTGCCGAGCAAGGGGCCTGGCCCTGGCTCGTCAGCATCCAGGATCCCGAGATATCAGGCACGGGGCATCTGTGCGGAGGTTCCCTCATCAGCACGCAGTGGGTCCTCACAGCGGCCCACTGCTTCGTCGATGCCAGGTAAGGAGGACTAGGGACCAGGGATATCCCCACACCACCAGTAGGTGCCCTGTTGGCAGCACCACGTGCTGCTCCCACCTCATTTCCTTGCAATGTACCCAGTGCCTGGGCACTGCAGACCTCAGCTGAGATTGCTCAGGAGAAGGCTGGGTTCATGCCACTGCTTCCTAGCAGCCTCCAGCTGACATTTCCAGAGCCTAAGGCGTGCTAGAGCAGCCTGTTAGACTGTTAGAGCAGTCACAGACTCCGCAGTGCTGCTTTCCTCTCTGCCTTGAGAAACAGAAGCCTGTCAGCTGCTGAGCTGCCGCAGCCCAAGGCTCTGCTCACTCTCACCCTCCTTCCATCTGCCTTCTAGAAACATCAGCACTATGCGCGTGGTGATCGGGGCCACCCAGCTGACGGAGCTGGGCCCTGGGGCTGAAGTGCGCCAGATTGAGCGGCTGCTGGTTCACGAGAACTACAATGCTGCCGACCAGAGCAATGACATCGCGCTGCTGGAACTGGACCGGCCTGCCGAGTGCAACCTCTACATCCAGCTGGGCTGTGTGCCCAATGCCACGGTGGATGTGTCAGAGCTGGAGACCTGCTATGTCGCTGGCTGGGGTGCCACCACTGCAAGAGGTAGGTCCCCAAAAAGGCAGGGCAAGCTCAACACACTGGGGAGATGGGTTGGGCTTCTCAACAGCAGAGCCCAAAGCCAGAATCAGGCTGCCCACTCCTTAAGGGCAGACAGAAGGGACATAGTGCTCCAATGCCTCTCCAGAGGCAAAACCAGGCCCTAGGGAGGGGGGTCACCCACAGGCATAGGAGGAGAACTGGCAGAAAGCTGCTGGATATTCTTTCTGTGCTCACAGCTCAAAAATCAAGCGATATCCTACAGGAGGCCCAGGTCCACCTCATCGATATCCAGCTCTGTAACAGCAGCGATTGGTACGCTGGGGATGTCCACACCCACAACTTGTGTGCTGGCCATCCAGAGGGAGGCATTGACACCTGCCAGGTAGGAGCATGTGGCGAGCCACTCAGCCCCCAGCAGCACAGGCAGCCCCATCACCACCGCCCAAACACAGCCCGCTGTGGGCTTGATCTGGCCCTGGTTCCCCACTGCTGCTGTAGCTTCCCTCTCTTTTCCCATCTGTGGGGCCCTGCCCAGTGGCCTCCTTGTCCCAGAGGTCTGGCACTCTGCCCAGAAAGCCCAACTAGTGCTCTTGGCAGCCCAGAGGTCCAGATGCTGACCCTGAAACATCCGTCCTCTGCGCCTCCAGGATCACTGTGCAGAGACAAGGGAGAGCCCAACCTCACAGGCCCCCAACCCACTCCCAGCCAAGCTTCTGGAGGCTCCAGCACCAGTTCAGAGTCCCAGTTCTGTGCTGGGAATACAGCTCTGACAGGGGCTCTGAGAGAGGAGTCAGTCCTAGTGCTGACAGGGGCCACCCATCACCACCTTAATCCTCTCTGCTCCGCTGCAGGGTGACAGCGGTGGTCCTCTCATGTGCAAAGACAATGACGCTGACTACTTCTGGGTTGTTGGAGTGACCAGCTGGGGAAAAGGCTGTGCAAGAGCAAAACGGCCAGGAATCTATACCTCCACTCAGCACTTCTACGACTGGATTGTGGGCCAGATGGGACTGCTCCCAGATCTAGGTGCTCCTACGACAGCACGGACATGGGGTTATTATCCAACTGCCACACAACCCTGGGGTCAGTTTCCGACCGCTGCACGACCCACTCAGAATCCATGGCCAAGACCACCTGCCACACAGCCACCATGGCCAAGACCACCCGCTACACAACCACCATGGCCAAGACCACCTGCCACACAGCCACCATGGCCAAGACCACCCACCACACAGCCACCATGGCCAAGACCACCTGCCACACAGCCACCACGGCCAAGACCACCCGCCACACAGCCACCATGGCCAAGACCACCCGCCACACAGCCACCATGGCCAAGACCGCCTGCCACACAGCCACCATGGCCAAGACCACCCACCACACGGCCACCATGGACAAGACCACCCACCACACAGCCACCATGGCCAAGACCACCCACTACTCAGATGCCAAAGCCGCCGCCGCCACCACCACCACCGCCGCCACCACCACCACCACCAACCCCGGCTCCGAAGCCGAAGCCACCACCAACACCAGTGGACAAGTCCTGCCCATATCCAGTTGTGAAGCTGGTGAAATTCTTCAGTCAGATGGAGAAGCTCTTGCAGGCCCTACAGGGAAAAACAGCTTGAGCAGCAGGATGAACAGGATCCAGTTCAGGCTACATGGGACCATGACCATTTCCTGCCAAGGCGATGCCTGCTGATCCAAAGGCAGCCTCGGTGCCAAAGGCCTGCTCTGTCCTGCCTACACTGCTCCTCTGCATGTACACAAATGCTAATGTTGACTTAGTTGCTGAAATAAAATTGCCTTTTTTCACAGTTAACCATGTTTTCAGACCAATTCTGCCTCCTGGACAAGGCAAGGGCTTCCTTGCCCAGGACCTTCAAAGTGAGACTTTGGGCAGACCACTTGGGCACAAAGGGAAAGAGTCACTGCAAAGTGCTGGAACTGTACCTGGTCAGAGAGGAGGGTGCTCAGAGCCACCATGGGATGGAGAAGATTGGCACATCAAGTCTAGAAAGAGGACAGGAAAAAATAATGCCACACGCAGACACCTTATGGGGGATACATTAAGGCACATGAGCTGGTGACTAGGGCCTGGCCTAAGCCTTAGCTAATGGAACAGGCCTGGGAAACTCCTGAGTATGACAAGCAAAATTGCTGACTGTCACAAAGAGAGGGAGAAGCTGACAGGAGCTACAATGCCCTAAGGAAGAGCCAGATTTCACAGGTAGTGAAGTGGGATTGATGTGTGAGATGGCCACACTTCACAGATGCTCGAAGGATGAGGTGGGGTCATTTTGGGGAGAAGAACCTGGCAGGACCAGTGGGACCCAGGAAACTGCATCGGTAATGCCCTGGAAGGCCAAGGTGAGCTAGCTAACAGCACCTGCAACACCAAGTCTGTTCACAGGTGGGGCAAACCTTGGAGCCAGGGTGGAAAAATAGCAGGGGTGGGTCCCCTGTTTGGGAGGAGACAAGGGAAGAGAAAGGGAGGAGTGGAGGAAGATGAAGGAGGTGTATAAACATGGCAAATGGAGAGAAAGGAGGATCAGGGAAGCTGTCGCACAGATGCAAGCTGCTGATTCATTTGCTGGTTTGAGCCCTGCACCTGATCACCACAGGATGGGGAAGAAGACTCTTTGCCCTAGGTTTCCTGCAGCAGAATCTCAGAGGTCCAATATATCATCATCATGGCTGGGCTTCGCAAACGAAGATTTGGGAAAGGCTCCATCCACATTTGTCACAAGCGCGCTGGTGGCTAATGAGGCCAATATGAGATAGACATGTCCAGTTTCAAAAGGCACAGCAGAAAGACTCCTTAGGTTGTATATTCTGCAAGGCATGATTCTTTCTGTGTTGTCTTTTCTCCTCAAGAGTGATCCTGTGTGCTTTCTCAAAGGAAGCAGCAGCGTTATAGATGGTGTGTCTCCAGGCCTCCCGGTTTGTGGCCAGAGTAGACCAGTTATGATGATCAATATGTCCTGCCCAGTGCAGCTGTGTTCTCAGCAACATGGCCTCAATATTTGTGACTGCTGCTTCTTCTAGAACAGATGTATTGGTCACATAATCTGACCAGTGGATGTTTAGGATTGTACGGAGGCAGCGTTGATGGAAGTGTTCTAGGAGACGCAGGTGGCGGCGGTAGATGACCCATGATTCGGAACCATATAAGAGAGTAGACAGCACTATGGCTCTGTAAACACTGATCTTGGTACTTTTCCTCAAGTGTTTATTATGGAGTTTTCCAAAAGCACTATATGCCTTTGCTAACCTGTTGTCTATCTCTCTGTCAGTCTTACCATCCAAGGAGATGAGGCTACCTAGGTAATTAAACTGCTGGACTGATTTGAGCTCTGATTGGCCAGTGGTGATATGGGGATGATGGAAGTCTTCCTGAGGTGCAGGTTGATAGAGAACTTCTGTCTTCTTTAAGCTGACTTCCAGCCCAAAGAGCTCAGCAGCGTCTGCAAAGCAGGATGTTAAATGCTGCAGAGTTGCTTCTG